TCACAAATTATAATTGCTAAGCGAGAAGCACAAAGACTGCATAAAATCAGATAGTTCTTTCTATAGGACCAGGATCAGAGCTCAAACTCTTCGGGCACTTGAAATGCTATCGATGTTTATTGAGGTTCTAGGCAATTCACTTTCATCATTTGCATTTGCATATTGCATATCGCAAATAGATGCGAGCTCAACTTGAGCGATTCAACGACCTAACAAGCAGCAACTACTGCGAGATGCCACAAACAATTTTAAGTGGATTTATTGCCTTAATGGATGCTCCATGGCAGCAGGTTCAGGCGCTTCACGGGCTCCAGCCGAGTGTCCGGACATTGTAGCAGCATTCATTGAATTGTTGGCCTGAATTAAGAAGCCTCTTAGCTCAAATTTCATTAATTCTCGAGCTCAATTAATGGGCATTCCGAAACAGTAGTCACGCATGCACAATGTGCTGTGAACAAGGACGATGAGTGCTCGGCTCGTGTTTGCAATTTGACTGAAATATACTCTGTATATAGCATGATTCGCAGAGATACACAAAAGGTTTGCTCGAAATGCTAGAGATAGAGAAATGTTGGAGATAGAGAAACTTTGTCCTAGGATTGAGGCATACAGGGTTGTCCATATTCAACGGAACTTATAAGCGATCTGGCATCTCTGTTAAAATATATAGTGCTGCCAGATGGGACAGCCCTGTATAGTCATGACTACCAAATGAATGCAAAATGATAGGTGTATTCATAACTGCTAAGTGAATGTATTCACATAAGAATGTAAATATAATTATTTTTAACATTGTCAAATGGACTCATTCTTCAGACTGCAGTCTCTGTCTGATAAATGTGTTCATAACTGCCAAGTGAACTCATTCATTATTGAATTTAAATATATTCATGTCAAACAAACTTATTCATTGCAGTAGATATGTGAATGATTGATATTGCATATTCATGACTGTCAATTAAATGAATTTATTCTTAAAACTGTAAACCTACAACTGAAGGATGTATTCATAGCCAGTAAGTGAACTCATTCATGTTTCAACTTTGGCCTATTTAGATAAAATGAATTTATTCTTAGTAAATCTGGTGATGAGGGATGTATTCATGATGTTAAATAATTTTATTTTTGAGACTTAATACTCTTACGATCATACTTCTATGACAGACGTATTTATTCATAGCTTCCAACTGAATACATTCATTCTTACATAAATATAATTTATGCCTTAGCGACATTTATCAATTTCACTCGAGCTAATTAAGCTTAAGCTGCAGATCTATGACTCAACATCCTTAGACTTCTGATCTCTACCTAGCTGACTGTCAAATTCGAGTACTCACTTCATTCCAGGGTATTTCAATTCAGGCAATATACAATGCAATGCGGCTTGTTAATCAACAGCAAGTAGAGGCAGCACTGCAAAAGCCTCACATATTGAGCTTCGCTTCACTTCCGCAGATTGAGCAGAGCCTGTGGCCTCGTTGGCCTGCCATGATTGCTGTCAAAGTGTGGGCTGGGTGGAGGCCGAGACGGCATGTCTGGAGGGGGCTTGGCATATTAGAAAAACAATAATAGGTTGCGTGATAGGAATCTTGTCGCCTTGTCTCGTGCCAGCGCAGAGAACATCGATGCGAATGACTTGTGTGTGTGTGTGTGTGTGTGTGTGTGTAACTGGCAGGAATTTAATACAGCCAGCGACGCGTCATCGTGTGCGATGCGATAGGATAGTCGGATAGTCGGTTAGCTTGAATGGCTTGCGACATTTGCAAGTGCTAGATTTTACTCACACACACACACACAGATAGGGATAGACACACCTATTATTATGTTTGTTGACTTGAATTGGCCCAAAAGAAGGTGTTCAGCCATTCGGCTGCTCAGCAAACAAATCACTGCTGAGGCACGAGCACGAAGGGCGTGACTTGCGGTTCGTGTGTTCAATCAAGCGGCTTACCAGCAGCTGCTAGGCGGCGCTATAAGCAGCGCTAGCCACGCCCACGCACACACACACTCACCCGCACACAATCAGTTAATTAACTTGTTAGCTGACAGCAGCTGCAGCATATTTTTGTCCATGTCCAGAATGATATTCAATTTCTGTTCTTGCTTTTCGACAGCAGTTGTCAATATTGCAAAAGTCAAAGTTAAATTTGCAGCTCACTCACTCTCTCTCTCTCTCTTTCTCTCTCTCTCTCTCTCTCTCTCTCTCTCACTGTCTTACTCATACTCCCCTTCTTTCTCTGCCTATGTGGCAACGCTGTTTGAGCTGGCTCAGCAAGCAATCTCCCCGGGGAGCCACTGGGCGGCTGACGTTGGCAATGCGATGACAATAAAATGCTTTCCCAGCCATGCAGCAGCAGCAGCAGCAAGAGCAGCAGCAAGAGCAACAGCAACAGCAGGAGCAGCAGCTTGTTGAGTGCCAAGTGCCAGGCCAGACATTCTGGCAGGCGGGCACCCTAGATGATATCGGGCGAGCTGTATTGAAATCGACAGCTAATGAAATGTTGCCCAAGATAGCAAACAAGCATCTGCAGCGGGCAGTGGACAGGCGGACAGGCGGACAGCTAGCTGCCCCCTGGGATGGCGCTGAGAGAGTTACCCAGAGCTGAGGCTGAGATTAACCAGAGTCAAGACATTTGAACCTGCTGTTGTTGCTGTTGTTGTTGCTGTGCCATAAATTGTAATTAGAAATGGCAGAGCACACACAGCCCTGATTCGAGCTCAATGTCAAGCAGGCGGCCACGTCACGTGTCGTATGCGCAATATTAATAGTGTGAACTGCCGTTAATCGGTAAACACAGTTTGCCAGTCCGGCCATTTATCAGTTCAGCAAGCGCATCACATCTTCATCTGACAATCATTGGGCATTCATCAATTGCACGAGCAAATGGCGGCTATAAAAATGGATTTGCCGGAAGTCCTTAGCCAGCCATACTGCTCAGCACTTTTCATTTTTCAGTTCTCTAATGAAAATGGAAATTCCAATTCGAATTGTCTTTTGTTCTCGCTAGACAAGTGAGCTCAAATACATTCCATATCAAAGCTCAAAATTCTTTGTTTCACTTAAACGTTTTTAGTTAAGGCTTTGTAATATTTATAACTACTTAATGAGTTAAGTGTGCTGAACTAGAGATACCCTGTAGCTGAGCACACTCAGTTGAAATGCTGCTTACATTTTTCTTCTATATAACTGGCTAAGCAAATGGACTCATTCATAGAGAGAATAGTTAGCCTATTGCTCCAGCATGAGTATGGAATCAATGGGAACGGAACATACGTGGAATACGAACTGCACACTGAGGACAGCTATGGCATTGGAGATAGGTTGTGAGACTTTAATTTCAGTACAGCTCAGTTGAGTCGTGTTTGATGAGTGAGCACTCATCTGAGTGCAGCCATAAGTGCTGCACTCTTAGGGCTCTAGATCGATGCTGCTCACTCATCCGAGTGCAGCGTATACTGCTGTTCTCACTACTCCTGCTGCCGAGGGCCTCTCAAGTGTCAGTGCTAAGAGAAAAACTTGTTTTATTGAACTAATAACTTTGAAAAAAAAAAATGTGTATATTAAAAATATT